TCTCTTTTAGATAGAATAAATCCTTTTGTGGGAGACTTTGAGCTTTGTAACTCTGCAGATCGTATACATGCATAAATAGCTACATAACACACTAAAGAAAAGGAACAATAGAAATAGCATCATATGACCCCTTTAAGCGTCTTTGGGCTTGTTTTGGCCTATAAAGCAATCCAGTTTATGGAGGTAATAAAGTAGGCAAGTGCAGGTAGATATATTTTGGTATGTGGCTTATTTCCAAGATGGAGCATTTGTATTTTTTATGGGCTCTTTCTTATTTGCTTACCTAGTTCCATGTGATTTCTCGTGCCATGCGTACAGAGGAGCAGCATAACTGATTTGATTTTAAATATGTAATTAACAACTAGTTAATGATATATTCCCCTACAACAACGTTGTACAATGTTGACAGTGTAAAACATGCTGCTTAACAAGCATAGTATAATGCATTGTTGTAGAAACTAACTGTTTCCTGAACATGGTCACATTTCCGTGGTTTGAACCATGTTGGTTCAACAATATAGGATAGTTGTTAAAGGGATAGTTCACCCAAAAATGAATATTCTGTCATTAATTTCTCACCTTCATGTCGTTCCAAACCCATAAGACCTTCGTTCATCTTCGGTACAGGTATTAAGATATTTTTGATGAAATCTGAGAGCTTTCTGACCCTGCATAGACAGCAACGCACCTGGAACGTTTATGGCCCAGAAAGATAGTGAGGACATTGTTAAAATAGTCCATGTGACATCAGTGGTTCGACCCTAATGTTATGAAGCTACGAGAATAATTTTTTTGTGTGCAAAGAAAGCAAAAATAACGACTTTATTCAACAATTTCTTCTCTTCCGTGTCAGTCTCTGCTGCCATTCATGAGAGTACCACGACGTACCATCTTTCTTAGTTCATAGTCTGCATATTCTGGTTCAAATAAGTAAGGCTGGGAAAAAAATTGCAAATTCAGACATGTTTATGAAGACTGTTTTATGTACAGCTTGCATCTTCTTTTGTTTGTAAACAAAGCGCAGCGCATCCGGGTTCTACTTCAGCAGCACCACACCACATTCTCGTGAATGTATTATTGTAGATTAAAAAAGTATTCTTGTAGCTTCATGACATTACGGTAGAACCTCTGATGTCACATGGACTATTTTAACAATGTCCTTAATACCTTTTTGGGTCTTGAACTTGACAGTTGCATTGCTGTCTATGGAGGGTCAGAAAGCTCTCGGATTTCATAAAAAAAAATCTTAATTTGTGTTCCAAAGATGAATGAAGGTCTTACGGGTTTGGAACGACATGGGGGTGAGTAATTAATGACAGAATTTTCATTTTTGGGTGAACTATTCCTTGATGACATGCGAAATAACTAC